GGGGGGGGGGGGGCAGGGGCTGAACAGTGCCTGAGGAGAGATTGGTCTCAGCCCCCTGCCCTGCTTCACCTCCACCCCACACAGACACAGAGAGGAGAGCTGAGGCAACAGGGTTGAGAACCTTGCTGGCTAAGGCCTCTTCTTCTCTCCTGAGGCCCCTCTTACGGGAATCATGACCTGGGACCAGGGAAGGACATATAGTGCACTTATTCCACCTGGCTCATTCTCTCCTCTGGCTTGGCACCAGAGGGTACTTATCCCCTCCCTGGGTGAGGAGTCTGGAGGCAGGGGTGGCCATCCTTTGTGCCAGCTGTGGCCAGCAGCCCTGTTATACTCTGAACAGGAGTCAAGTCGATGGATATCCATGGTAACGTCCTGGGTGATGGCTGACAGCAGCTTTTGACACGGTACTTTCAGGGAACAGAATGGGATCGAGCTGCCAAGTGGAGTATGTGTTTTATTGAAATCCAAAGTCAATAGCTGCCACGGGCAGGGAGCAGAATAACCCTCCAAATGGATGATATCCATGCTCTGTCCTCAGGGTACCAAGTGAGCCAATTTAACCACGTCCCAGACCTCACGGAGGAGAAAAACACCCCTTCCCAAACAGTTTCGATGGAAATCAGGCATGTTCCCAAAAATCCCTGCTGTACCACGTGCAGCTCCTTGACAGGCAATGCATCCTTCCCCCTTTCCTTTGTGCTGTAGGTGATGGAAGGGCCTTTCATCTGAGCTAATTCATAAGACTCTGCTGCAATCTGGCAGTTCTGGTCTATTGTAACAAAAGCTTTCAGCCTATTCTCCTGAGACAAGCAATTTGCTTTAAAGGCAGAGCCTGCCTCTCTGATCCCTAATGCTGTGTTCAGATGAAAAGTGAAAGGATAACATACAATTATTTTGCCTTTCCACCTGGGGATTTGTAAACTTTGCATTTTCTCTGTGTCAGAGGTAGGCTGTGAATTACAGAGGAGGGAAGCAGCAGTGCTTTTGTACCGGAGCAAACCAAAGCATTGTTAGAACATCTCCCAGTATCACTATATAAACGAGGGACGCAAAGTATTAGACGGAAGCTGATGAGATTAATATTTACAGGAAAGAACGATAGTGGATGAATAACACGGTACTCTGTTTGGAGGTATTCCCAGTGGGAGGCTGGTTAAAATGACTCCAGAAGTACTGGGTACTTATACGCCTACAAGAGGAACGATCAGTCAAAATGGAGGGAAGGGAGACCTCTCACCTCCATATAACCTTACCCCAACATAATCTTTTGCTTTTTTAAAATTCCTTAAAAAAGCATATGTCTCCACCCCTCTCCCCCCCATAAACACTCAGCAAAAGTTATTTCATTCCAGCTGAAATCAGTGCAGCTTCCCTGAAAAAGAGGGACACAAGGGGTGGGAGACTCAGAGGTCTGGACACAAACACTCCTGACCTGCCACAGTGAGAAGAGAGTCCTGGAAGCAAATGAGGTGGAAAATTTGGGTTGGATCAGGACTTTCTGTCCTTGCAAGGACACTGTGGCTGTTTCTGGCCATTCCTGGGCCCCACGTGTGGAAGCAAAGGCTGGGCCAAGTCTGAGCTTGGTTCTTTGGTCAGTTTAAGCTGGTTCTGCAGTCACTTTCTGTTTGTTCACTTTGGCTGCCAAGAGAGCAAGGGACTGCCTGCAGGGGAGAGTGCAGAATAGGGGAACAGATAATGTCTGTGACAATCAAATCCTTAGAAACAACAGTGATTTATCTGCTGTTCTCACCTACACTAAAAATAAGTACTTGAATATTTAGGGAGGCAGGTCGACAAGGACCCCTTAAACTACTAGCCCATCAAACCTGACTGTGCTGTGTCCAACACACCCATTGTTCTTGTGTCTGAGGCAGGTTCTCCTCTCAGTCAGTGCAGTATAAACCTGCCTGTCTCCTCGGGGTTTGCTGAAGGTATGTCCAACGTGTATAGCTTCATACCTGTACCTATAGTTCATACCAACGGGTATAGCTTCTCTCTAGTAACAGCCAGCCTCCCTTACAGGACGCATATTTAAGGTTCTTGCTAAGGGCAGTGGGAGCTGCACATATGCAGAATTAACCCGGAGGACCGAACATACAGAAAGCTCACGCAATTTTGATGATTAAAAAAAAAAGTACTTGTCTCTGCACAGCTGCAGCTTTCAAAAGAAAGATAAGCATATTTGCTCTCTAAGCCTGTCCAGAAAGCGGTCAGCTGCATTCTTCATTTCTGGCTTCTGAAACTTGAATTTGGATGAGAAAGTTGTTATCGAGTTACCAGAGCACAGGAAACTATGTACGTTCGGCCTTTCTTTGGATCAGCAGACAGCAGACTGAATTGTTCTACTAGATCCTTTTTAATGACACTAGTGAAGGGTAGCTGGGAGCAGGCTGCGCACGGTTGGCGGGTCATGCTGGCGTTGCTTCCCCTTCTCCTTGCTAAACGGGGCAAATTGGCATTGGGAATAAACAAGGGGAAACAACCAAATTAGCCACCGGGGGGCACTGAGCCCCTACACAATCTTTCTTTAAGTTTATTTGTTGGGCTGTAAATGAAATCCTCTTAAAGGTGAAGACGCAGAGGGAGGGGTATAGAGGATTGGGTTGGGGGGGAAGCCTCTTGCTAGCTACAACTCCCATGCTCCAGAACTGGCTCCAAAACTCCTATTCAAGATAAAGTTTCACTCCCAAAAGACCAGCCGATGTGGCTTTGCCCCTTACCTGTCCTCTCCACCGTTTCTCGGAGGGACACAAAGCGAACCGTGGAATTTCCATCCCCGTGCTGGTTATATGCAAGGAGTTTGACTTCGTACACCACCAATGGGTCTGTTGAAGAGAGACACAAGGAAGAGAGTTCAGGCAGAATCGCTCCCATAAACCAACCTGCCTGTTTCGGCACGTGTCTGGGAAACAAGTGGCAACAGCCAAGCATGATGTTCCCGCTGAACTCAACAGTGAATGTGTACTGTCTGCTGTGAAGCAAGCTTGGGATCTAAAAACAAACCTGACACAGCTCTCCTACTTGCTAGAGGCCATGTATTTCACCAAGAACATGGAGGCGAATGTTCCTGTGCTAAGCAATGTAACATGGACAAGGCCTTCTTGGTACTTACCTAAGTGAGTAATGTTGTAAGACGTAACATTGCTGGGCAGTAACATTGGCCCAGTATACTGGGAGAGGTGAACTTTACGGTAGAAGAGTTTGAACCCTTCATGTTGGCCCAGCTTGATGGAAGGCTCCCAGGTGGCTTGGACAGCAGTGCTGTTAATAACTTTAATAAAGAGGGAAGGCATCGCTGGGACTGAAAGACAGAGAGAGAGAGAGAACATTTTATCACCACCTGGGTCACACCTGTGCCCTTTTAGCCCCAATATACTCTGCAGAGTACAAGACTCATGATGCATGATGCCCACTTCACTGAGGTTGCTGAGTCTGAGAGCATGACAGCTA